GAACTAATTTTGGCGGAAACTGAATAAAAAGTGCCAATATAAATTGTTGAATTTCTCCATAAATTTTGCACCAAATTTTACAAAAGTTAATATTTAGGCATAAATTGTCATAGAATCGAAATATGGAAAAAAATTGCTATGTTATTTCAGAAAAAGTCCGATTTTGTGTCAAAATACCTATGTTAGAATAGTGCTATATATAAATCTAATATATATGAAGTCGCACTTTGGAGACCGAGAACGCAATTGAATTCGTGAATCGGATAGAACGAGAGATATAGACTGTCCCCCCCCCCTTTTTTTTTTTTTTTTTTTTTTTTTTTTTTTTTTTTAAGCAGTGTACATGTTTATTACCTTTAGAGTACATGCAGTGTACATGTTTATTACCTAACAATGCAACCCACTTTTTAAGGAAGAAGTAAATGTGCCTAGTGTTAAGATAAGCTATAACAGGGTTCGTACAGTCTTTAAAATTCCTTAAGTTTTTTGGAATCACTTTTTGGTCCTTAAATCTTAATTTCTGTCTGTTTTCAACTGCCATTTTGAGTTTGATTTAGCATTCGGAGGAATATTTATGGTGATTCACTGACAAATATGATTAACTTTTGAATAGGATATAATTTGTTCCTATTTCTAATATAAATGGTGGAATACTCGAGTTTCTAAGCAATAAGTGAAACATAAGCATTTTGAAATTATTTAATTTTTTCTAATGAAGAGTTTTTAAACAACTTTTTGCTTTTGGGGATGTGAATTCTTTTATTAAACGGTTCTAAATTTGACGACTTATCAATATTTTGGTGATTTTAAGGTAAGTTTTCATAGAAAATTTTTAATTCCGACATCTGGGAATTTTCAACGATTTTTTTTTTTTTTAACATTGTAGCATTGGTACATTTCATTAAAAATAATGGTAATATATTGGAATTATATTTAAGAACTAAGATTAAAATAAAGCATTTTTAGTTTTCGTTGTCATATTATAAAGTTCCATTTTGGCCACTTATTACAGAATATTTTGAGTCTGAAAAATAAACAAGGTATAATGATATAAAGCACAATTTATGAAACATTTCTTAGCAAAAGAAAAATAGCTATGCAATTAATTAAGAATATCTTTTTAATTTTTTCAGGGTAATAATTTTGACCATGTAATTGTCTCAGAATATTTAGCATTCAGAATACGCATGAGTTTTCTCTATAAAACTAATTTTACACTTTTTTTCCTCTGTTCCCCCCTAATTATTTCTGGCTTTTTGCTGTTAATTAATTGGTAGGGGTAATTTTTCTTTAGAAGTTTAGACATTGCAGGTTGAAAAGTTTAGAAAGATTTCAAGGCAAGATTTATAGACCCACAATTCTAAAAGATTCCAGAAAAATGTCTCTATGGTATTAACACGTAATTTTGGTGCCTCTCTAAATTCTGCTTTCAATGCCTGTTCTAAATTTTAAAAGTTTTGCCATTTGTCGATTTTGTAGTTCTGTGCATCACTAAATTCTCAAAATTCTGCCACACCGGCTCTGTAACTGGCCCTGATCATCACTTCATATTTATTCTCAGTGTTCATGTTGTTAAAGAAATAAAATTAGTATCTCCTTCTATATGTTCTAAATATGTGTAGTTTTTCCATTCCTTAATTTTTTTTACTCACTGTGTCACTAAATTCTAAAAATTTCAAGATATAAAATACCTGAAGCGAATTAATATGTGGCTACTAATTCCCTGTGTTAAAATAAATGTGAGGGGTGAAATAACTTCTTCAATAGTGAGTTGATTTTCAATTCTGAGAAGAGTGCAACAAAAAGTAACCGTAAAATTTGACACAGAGTTTTCTCAAAATAAAAAAAATTATTGTGAAATGAAAGCTTTTATCTTTTTCTGTAAACTTATCTCATGATGAATGATTATTATTTATCTTCAAACCTTAATTAATCATTTTGCTTTTTCATATGCTCCATTTTGCTGTCACTTGATGTTCTTCACACAATTCTCCAGTAAAAAATTCCATTAATTTAAGTTTTTCATTCTGTGATAGCAATTTGTTTAGAGACATTTTATCAAAGTTTGTAAAACTATGTTTTGCCTTCTGATTCTGTATATCATATGAATTATAATAAAGTGTAAAATAGAAAAAAGATGAAGATTTGTTAATGCTAACAAAATAGTGAAAGAGCTTCTAGATGAAGATAAAAAAATGTTTGTTTACATGTTAAAACTTTCTTCTGTTAAGTATGCGATTACATAGTATTGAAAGTTCTAATTAACTGTAAAGTTATTTTTCATGCTAAAATTGCATGTGTTTCTACTTTAGCAATTGCATCTTTTTTTGATATATTTTTCAATAGATTTTCATCAAGTTTTCAAAGGCAGTGTACTGATGTTGCAACAGATAAGTTACAGTTACAATCCCACAATTTTCAATTAGAAAACTTTTATAAAGCTATAAAATCAAGAAAACTGATACTCGATGGAGTTTAATTAGAAAACAAAAGTGCTGATGGAATTTTAAAGTAAAATGAACTCTCTAAAATAAAGTTGGCCTTCATGGTAATTCCCTACAGCAATGCTGGGTGTGGTGAATTTTCATTATTATTATTAAAATATGAACTAAATTTTGATTTAATATGATGATACACTGGAAAGACTCTTATCAGCAAACCAATCTTTTATTAACAGGCCTGTGTTGACATTCCTCCGAGCAGAATTGTAATTCTTTTTTCGTACAGAAAGCAAAATCTGCTATTGTTTTTAATAATTATGTGAAAATAGTTTAAATTATTTTTCTAATATGCATTTCAAATAATGATATTTAAAAAAAAATATTTGAGTATTTTTGGACTCTATTTGTTTAAAACGTATGACTGTGTTATCGGGTATTAATTGCATAGTATTCATATTTTATTTATGTATACAGTGGTGGCCAAAATTGTGGACACTTTTGGAAATTTTTGTTTTTGAACTTTGTATGCTTATAGAAAATGTTACGTTTCACAAAATGCAAACTTGTATATATCATTTTAAAGAGAATTTATTACTGAATTCAATACAAAACACAAAATTCAATTATTTGCAATACAAAAAAGTTAAACGATAATAGTTATCGATATATATTAGATAGTGATGATTGCAGTGAGTTATCAGTACTTAGTAGGGTACCCTTTATTTTTGATTTTTGACAAATTGATTGCTTTTGATTACAGCTTCACATCGACGTTTCATTGAGCTGACAAGAGTTTTAAGCTCTTCTTTCGTTATTACATGATGCCAGGAAACAATTATAGCCTCATTTAGTTCCCTTTTATTTGATGAGCGCATCATTCGGACAAGAGTTTTCAAACGGTGCCACAAATTTTCGATAGGATTGAGGTCAGGACTGTTTCCTGGCCATGACAACAATTTAATGCTCTTTGTACGAAACCACTCTTTCGATATTTTGGCCGTGTGGCAAGGAGCATAATCCTGCTGAAAAAAACGAAGCATGCTTGGAAAGACATCTCTGATGGAAGGTAGAGTTTTGGCTCTAGAACAGTGTCAATTATTTTCTGTCATTCAGTGTCCATCGATGACATGAAGGCGACCATACCATTCCTGACATGCATGACTAAATCATAACTGACTAACTGGGTTCTTCACAGTTGCTTGAATGCATCAGGATGTAGCTCTTTCCTATTCTACGTCTTACATTTTTCGCCCATCACTACCGAGTAACGATATCTTAGTTTCATCAATCCATATAACTTGTGAACACTGATCATCTGTCCAATTAATGGTTTCTTGCCCACTGTAGTCGTTTTTTTTTTCGTTGCTGAAAATTAAGAATGGCTTTTTTCGTGGAATTCTACCTCTCAGCCCACATCTGTTAATCTTCTCCTGATGTTCTTGAACCGACAGAAACACCAGCATCATTCAGATCACTTCTGATGGCCCTGATGACATTTTCTATCTTGGAGAATAGTCTTTTTACTTCTGCATCAAAGATGTGGTGCACCTTTTTCGGCCTTTTCCTTCTTTGTTTGTTATTGAATTTCTTCTGATATCGTAAAAAACTTTCGGACTCCAGATGTATCACTGAACCACCCACCTGTCTTGCAATTTCAGCATAGGAAACCACTTTTTGTAACACATATATTACATCTCTTTCTAGGTGTCCAATCTACTCTTTTATTAATGTCATTGCTTCTTCACTAATATTAAAATTTTACAAAATCCTACTTGTAATTGCAGTTATAAGAAACAGGTCCTCCTTCTACAGAACAAGCAAATAAGAATTGTTCAGTGTAAACATGGTTCAGCTTTACTGGCAGTTATAACATTGATTGTTCTCAGAACAAGAACAGCGATTGGCCAGGAAACTAGACATTACAAACCACTTCAACTCTGTTTTTTTTATTATATAAAGTCATATAACTTTTTTTGTATTGCAAATAATTGAATTTTGTGTTTGTATTGAATTCAGTAATAAATTCTCTTTAAATGATATATACAAGTTTGCATTTTGCGAAACGTAACATTCTCTATAAGCATACAAGTTCAAAACATAAATTTCCGAAAGTGTCCACAATTTTGGCCACCACTGTATATTTATATTATTTGTTATTTAAAAAGAAAGAATTTCCTTTTTGTATGTTTTTACCATTAAAAAATTATTCTTGTCAGTAAAAAAGAATTCTGAATTTTCACTTTGGCATGTCTGAATATATCATAAACTTAATCTTAATTAGTTATCTTTAATTATATATAAATTTTCTTTCAATTCAGTTCATAAAACATTTTACACTTTCCTTATGTTATTGGACATGGAAAAAATATAGTGTTTTTAAATAGTTATTATGGTATGCATTGGTAGCAGTGAATTGAATTTTTATTTGTTATAAGTATTTATGAAATTATTATGCATCTCGAATCCTATTCACTTTCAAAACTGTAAAATGTGTGCTGTGTTCTAAGTTACATTTGTTAGCCATATTAATTTTTTATCTTGATGTCCATTGATGATTATCCGTGATGTCCATTGATTTGATTAATATTGATTTTGCATAATTTACTTCTTAACTGAATTTGCATTTCAGTTGTGATTCCCAAAATTGAAAGAACAATTGCATATATTACATCTGAGCTTGATGAAAGAGAACGAGAGGAATTTTATAGGTAAGCTGTAATTTTCTGTTATAGGAAATATTGTATAAAATATATTTTAAATTCATTCTGCTTCCAATAAAATCCTAAAATATATTAGTATGAAAGGAGATTTTAATCACTGCAAATAATCAAATGATTATAAGTAGTTTGGTTATAATTGATTATTATCATTCATAATTATTTCTATATAAAAATTCCAGTTTTTCATTAAACAATGTGTCAGATACCTCATTTCTCAGTAAAATTTTGATTAACATTTCATTATTTAAAACTTTTTAATTATTATTCAATATCTAAACTATCACTAAAATTATGTATTGTTGCTGTATGTTTCCTTTATTGAACGTATTGCAGTCATTTAATATACGTATTTTTAGTTACTTATAAGTTTGTATCACAAAGTACAGTTGAATCCGGTTAATTGGACCACCGGATAATCAGGCCAAATCCTAAAAAACTGAAACAAATCCTATGTACATAATCATATTATTATTATTCTCTTATTTGGACCAAAATTCCATTAATTGGACCAAAATATGTGAGAGCGAATAAGAAACAGAAGCCACAAGTCGGCTGTGTACAGCGGATGTACAGGTGGTCTGAGACATATGGGAAGATCTGTAGTTGTGACTCCCCAGGCAAATGCTTTATCAAAGGTCAAGAATTCCTTAAAGTGCATGACAAAAACAAAACCGGTGGGAGGTAAACACACGCACCATTTTCTTTGACCTGTGCCTCTGATTTTCGAGGAAATAAACAATAGAGTGTCCAGCTCCATGTGAAAGGAATTCCTGCCTGTCAATCATGATGAAAGTTTACACGAGAATGCTATCATTTCATCACCTTTTTTGGATGATTTTAGTGCCAAAGCTTTGAGTGGCGGGCATTTTATATCCCTCTTGACCTCAACGTCTTGAACCCGAAACACCAAGTTTTCTTCAGACCACTTTAGACAGTGAACTGTACGCGTGTCTTGTCTTCCCTGCCAAAATGCCACAACTTGATGTTAGCTAAAAAAAAATTGGTTTCCTGGATAAGGTCAAGCAACAGCCACAAAACACTAGTCAGCGTTGGTTGGTGAAAATAACCGGATTCACAAAGACTACGAGTTTGCGCTTGATAAAACAAGAGAATGGGCTGCGAGAAGAATGGGCACAATGTGAAGGACGAGGAGGAACTTCCAAAAAACGGAAGAGTGAAGGCAAGGACCCAGATGTCGATGAGGCCCTTAATGAATGGTTTGCCATTGTTACTAGACAATCTGTGCGAGTAAGCGGCCCAATGTTAAAACGCAAAGCAGAAGAACTTGCTAAAAAGCTGGGCCAGGATGACTATAAAGCTACGGATGGTTGCTTGTGTCGATGGAAATCTAAGCATGACATAAAATTCAAGAAAGTGCTGATAGTGCAAATGCTGAAGAATAGAAATCAACAAAACTGCTTAAGCTTCTTGAAAATGTTTCAGCAGATGACATCTACAATGCTGATGAGATCAGGCTGTATTATCGTGCTACACCGGGCGGCTCATTAAGTTACAAACATGTTGCACTCTCTGGCTCCAAAAAGCGATGGATCGCATAACTGTTTTGTGCTGCTCAAACATGTCAGGAAAGGACAAGAGGAAGCTGTTGGTTATAGGAAAAAGCACCAAGCCTTGCTGCTTTAAAGGACTTAGGATGGAGAGTTTACCAGTTGTGTAACTTGCGAACAGAAATGTGTGGATGACCTCTGAACTTTTTAAAGAATGGCTGAAAGATTGGGACAGAGAGCTACAATGCCAGTCGAGAAAAGTGCTGCTTCTTCTTCACAATTGTGCAGCACATCCTCATTTAGATTGCTTGATGAACGTCCAACTGGAATTTCTACCTCCCAGGACCACAGCTTTGGTCCAGTCAATGGACATGGGCATCATAAAAAATTTGAAGACTCTTTATCATGCAAGGTTGGTTAATTACATTCTTGAAGCATTGACAATCATCAAAGGTCAACTTAGTCCAAGGTCACATCTTACAAGCAGTTACATTTGTGGCCGGGAGCTGGCAAAAAGTGAGCAGTGAGACAATTCAGAACCTGTTTTTCTCAACTGTGGCTTTAAGCACTTGGCTTTGGAGATGGATGTGGACATGCTCATTGAAAGTGAAAATTATGATTTACATGTAGAACTTTCAACAGGTACAAAATTGCGAAGAATTTTTATCTATCGACAACAAGCTTCAATGCTACAATGAAAATGAAGATTACGAACGCTGCAATTGTTGCTTAAGTTGCAGCAAAACACATGACAGCATCGGAAGACCAATAGAGTGTTGATGATGGTCCCACTAATAAGTTGGTGCAAGTGACAATACAGGATGCGAGGAAATGCACTGAAACTTTGCGTTGGTATTTCATGCAGGAGGGAAAGGAAGGCAGTCCCATTGCTGCGTTAGATGTTTGTGACGATTTCTTTCATGGGCAATCTGTCAAGAGAATGCATCAGATCACATTGGATAAATTCTTCAAATGTTGACTGGAACTTGGTAAGAAATTGTTTTTATTGTGCTTCGCATGTTGAGTATCGTAAAGATTGTTTCTTAGAATTTGTTTCTAATTAATTTTCTCAATGAAAAAAAAGTTCTACTGTATTTCTTGTTTGTGCATGTATGTTTGCCACATATGTGCACTGCACCATAAAGTTCATAATTGACATGTAGATTTACTGTTTGCTACTTATAGCATGTCCCGTCTTACAACATAGGACATGTTCGTGTAATCAGACCAGCCGGTTATTAGGACCAAAACGATTGCTTCCCAATGTGGTCCGATTAACCGGAATCGACTGTATATGATTATTTCTGGGGCAGTTTTATAAATAGACAGATTTTAAAGTTCTAACTTCAAAACAATTTAAGATTTAACCTTTAAACATTACTGATAGAGGCTAAGGTTTACTAAAAAGTTTTCATTTATACCCAGAAACTGTTCCTGCTGGTGAAATAAAAACTCAGATTTAAAATAAATGTTACAGTATTTTATTAATATGTATAATTTATGGAATAGAAAATAAACAGAAGTCTACAAGCCTACTGTTATTTGCGAGGCCAGATTTACTTAACTGAAATTATAACATAGATCTTTTAAATTTCTAGCTTGGTCAATACTGAGTTGCTTTTAGAATAATGTCCAATTTGAACTCAAAAGCCGAAGGACAGCCTTATTGGCTTACTGACAGTGATATTATGGAAGAAGCATCTATAGTCATGGGGTGTAAGTTGAAAATGTGCTAATATGGTTTTTACACTCTTCAGTGCAATTAATCCATCTATACACAAAAATGTCAATCAAACACAATTCAGATAACTGAATTCTTATCTTTATTTTCCCCAGCTTCTTTCAGGGGGCATTATTTTCACATGTTTATATATATGCTGAGCTGTCAGTTATTTATGTAGCCTATCTTATGATATGATTACTTATGCAAATTTTGGTCATCTGCCTTTCTAATGCTACAGTTATGCAGACAGTGTAAGAATACAGGTTTTACAATGTATCTGATAGATCCACTGAAGGCATTGTTGGCAAAACTTTTTTTTTTTTTTTTTTTTTTTTCTTTCAAGTGTGTGTTTCTTTTCAGAAGTATTTTATGTTGATACTTTATCCTTAAATTTTTAGCATGCATTTCTAATTTAATTCTGAATGTCACTACTGACGAAATATTTTTCAAATAATTAATTATGTTTCTAAGCAAAGTTTTATTAAAGAAATTATTTTATATATCTTACACCAATTAATATTATTTTGAATATTTGACTTTTGATGAAGTTTTTGTTTCTGAAATTTTTTAATTAATGATATATAAGAAATTTAAACTTATTTTTAAAAAGTATTTGTTAAAGTATTTGTTAGTTGTAAATCATACATATAATAATATAAAATTTATAAAAAAAATTATGTTGACTTTATAATTAATAAAGCTTTCAGAGTTATTTATAGGTCTGTTGTATTTGCTTTTATATTATGCATACAATTTATCTTTTCTTTAATAGTTGGAGATCCTCTGAGATAGGTATAATATTCAATAGATTAAACATTTTGGTACTTGCATATCATGCAATTTGTCAATTTTTGAAACATTAAAAAAAATTATTCACAAGCAATTGGTATTTATTGCAAGTTGGAAAATATTACCAGCCTACCAAACAAAAACACACTTTAGAAATTTAAATTAAAAATTTTAATTATTAAATATGTAAAAAAAATTAAAATTTTTCAAGGTGTCTTCTGTAATTTTTTTTCCCTGTTCCTCTTCCTGTATATACAGTGATTTGTTTCACGTAAAAGCACAGGAGTATTGCATAAACACAAAATTAAATGCAACCTCGCCCCTGCATGCTGGCTAATGCACCTCATCATTTTTCTCATTAGCCATTTTATGGCTGAGTACTGTATTCCTGAAGGAATTTTATTGCATTTTTTTCTTTGCTTCCGAATTCCATACACACATATTTTCAAATTGAGTTTAAGGCAAAAAGTATTACCTTCACTAAAAGTATCACGCATATATTCAAATATTTCATAAAGATATTGGATAAGTTATTTTTAGCTATCCTTTAAAACAAAAATCTAATATTTTTTTTATTTCAAAAGTAGGCTTCTTTTTTTTTTTTTTTTTTTTTTTTTTTTTGTCATTGTAAGAATACTGGAATATAATGAATTCTATTTAAGGCTTTAAATTTTTAGTCCAAAGGGGCTTTGTCCCTGAGGGACTATTGTTTTTTGTTTTGCGATTTTGTGTCAAATTACTCTGAATGTCCGTTTCATTTTTCAAACTGTTGCCACCAACTATTATTGCCCTGTATTTAAAGAAATTAAATAATGAAGAATCTGCATAAATGTATGTATGTTTCTCTCATTGTGATAAAACGATAGATAGATCCAGCAAGTTTTGCATGATGAAATTCTGCTGCAAATATGGGCATCTGGAAGCCCAAATTTGGAATTTGTTTTATTATCGATTTTATTTTTTATAAAACTTTAACGAATTTTTGATTAACAAACTCAAGGATTTCAAAAAGAGCAATGGCAACGTTGTACAGAAAAAACATTTTTATGTCCAGCATGTGAGACTGGTGTATCAGAAATTCTAAAGATATGCTCAGTTTAAAATTACTTTGCAATATTGCTCTTGAACTGAATTTTATGGTTTAAGTTCGAAGAACATGATATTTAATAAATAAAGGTAACACGCAAAATGTTAAAAAAATGCCCTTTAGACGTAATTTTTAATTTGAAATCTTTTTTTTCCTCCTCTTAAGATTTAATTTTTATTTTTTTTTTTTTTTTTTTTAATTATTTTTTTATTTAAGATTGAAAAAAATTCAAGGTAAGAAGAAGGTTATGAGAGATGAGAATGAAAAACGCAAAGAGGCTCTGAAAGCAGCTGGTGTTGATGTTGATGCAGCGCCTAGTTTACTAACTGAAGATAATGAAGATGACGTGCTCTTTTAATATAATATTTTTTAATTGTTCGACTATTTCAGAGTTTATTCGTATGAGATCTGGTGTCAGGAAAACTCAATGGAAGCTATTATATAGTAGTTGTATGTAATCCAGAACACATTTTAATGACATCTCAATGTGGTATTTTTTGGTTTGTGTAGAAGATTATCCATTTCTATAAAAACCACATAAAATCAATTAAAAATATTTGATGTCTAGAGCAAATAGTATTATTTGTTGATTAGTATTGTTAACTGTTGATTAGTATTGTGAATCGTATATATGATTAGTAGGGAAATTTAATTTCATTTGCTTCTCATTCTATTGCTTTTTTAATTATTATTTAAATTATACTTTTTTAGGTATTAGAAACTTTTAATTTGATTAATTCATGTAATCAGATTTGTGTATTTCTTTAATTACTGAATGCAAACAGTGATAAAACACAGTGAAATTGTTTCAAGAGCAGTTGTTTATTATAAAACATAGATTTTTAGAATAATTTGAATATTGTTTTATAAAACAACTGATTTATAATTAAACCTGAAATTTAATATCTGTAGTTAAAAAGCTTATTGTGTTTATTTTTCTTATTAATGTCTTTTAAACTGCTTTGAATATAATTTCATACTTAGTAAGTGTTGATTACATTCCATCATTGTTAAGTTGATAAAAAATCATCGATAATAAAGGATGTACTAAAAATTATTATTGTTTAGATGTCATTACAGTTTTGCACATAATTATCATATGTTTTCTTAATAAATTATATGAAAAATATGATCTTTTCGCATATAGGTGCCAGCATTATGAAGTAATTGTATGCTCTAGTTTTCAGGGGACTTTACAGGTTTTGATATAAACTGTTAACAATAAAATTAAGCAGTGTCTGATAGAAAAAAAAAGTTTATAATATGTATGCAATTATGCTGAAAAATTAGTAAGCTGACTATTAAAAGACAAAAATTAATCCAGATGACCATATGCTTTATGTAAATATAACACGTTCATCAAATTCTTGCATCTAAGGTATGTAAACTTGTTAGAATGTATATTTATGTATGTATTTGTTTGTTAGAATGTATATTTATATTGTTCATTAAGCGTGTAAGATAGAAAGAGTAAGAATGGTCTGAAATAAATTTTGTAAAAATGCTAAAAGTATTGTTAAATGATTGACATTGAAGATAATTTATGTATTGTATTGGTTATAACAATACAATTAAGCAATGTAGTCTCATGGTAGATTACTTGGAGATTGAGAGAAGGGGGATTCCAAATTGTTTTCTAGTGTCAGATTACAGTAATTTACTGAGGAAATAGTATGGGTAATATTACTGAGGTATAGAATTTCTCACGGAATATTGCTACAGATGATGATAAAGAATCAGATCTTATGTTTTTATGCTATAAAGTACAAAATATATAAACATAAAATTTTTAAGTTTCTTTATTATGTTTATTGTAATTTTTAACAAAAGTAATTTTTTTTTTCCCATCTACAAAAGGGTTTATACTTTCAAATACCTAATACTCTCAAAAGTAGTTGGTTTTTCACTATGAAATTTTTAAGTCAAAATAATTATTAATAATATAATTTTAAAAAACATTTTTCCCATGTTTTGTTATCTAGGCAATGTGTTTTTACACGTGCATAATTTGATATGTTGGGGAAAAGCTTGTTAAGCATCATATTAAAGGCTATTTAACTGAGTATTGTTTTATTATAATGGTAGTACAAATTTATGTAAAATTTTTAACTAACTTTTTCATAAATTACATGTATTAAACATATGAATTGCATTTTATTGTGCATTTAAAATTCTAGTATGGTAATTTTTAAAGCCATCCTGCAGAACTTCTATATTATTATTGGGAATAATGCTAAGAAATACTTAGATGCTTTTGAAAGTTATATTTACTCTTGTTAATGAAAATCATTACGAGCATATACTTCAAGTGATATTTCAAACTTAATATTTAAATCTATACTATATCATGATGGTGTAATTTTATACAAAACAATTATATGGCCATATTTTTAAAACATCAACAACACAACAAAGTGTTACATAAGACAGTGATCTCGAACTAAAAGTTCCCAAAGCAATTTTATGTGACCTATGCAAATACATATCAATTGTGTATTTCTTGCAAGTATGTACATGAACATGAGTAATGTACCAGAAAATTTATAAGTGGAGCTAATTAATTTACAATATGATATAAATTTTATTCAAAGATTTAAAGATATAAATTTGAATTTTATTGAATTTATTTGAATTCGAAATTTTATTTGTACTTGTCAAAAAATAAATATACTCAATTAAGAATTTTTTTTAATATTTAACAGTCAATATATTTGATTAACAAAGTGTAATTTATAAAAATGTCTTGCAGGTACCAAACTTTAGATTTCAGATTGAAAATGTTTATAAATTTTATTTTTTCTCTTTGCAATATCATTATTGTTTGTTTAGGTTTTGATAAATATTCAGTAAGCAAAATTTAAGACTTATTTAAAATATTTTTTCTTTTTATTAAAAAACATTTCCGGCTCATTGGGTTGTGCATTCCTGCCACATGCAATTTGAGTTTGAGAGCACTGATACCAACTGATTTCAGATGTTTTATGGTGGGTGATAAACTAAAGCTGGTAGGATCAATATGATCATAAATTATGCTTCATAAAAGAATCTTGTTGCATATTTCAATTTGTATATGTACCTATTTGCTAAATAAAAAAATTCATAAACACAGTTAAAGCCCCACCATAGGAATGTGTTTTCTTATGAACTATGGATGTAACGAACGAATTTTTTGGTCCTGTTCAATCTATTATGAATTTAATGTTATTTTATACTGCTATAGCGAATTTCTAAATGTATGAAAATTGGATATAACAATCTTAATGGACATCTTTAGCTGAATTTTTTCCAGAATTTCTGCAAGTTTTAATCAAAAAGCTACTAGTTCTTAAAATCATCCAGTTTTAGGATGTTAGGATTCCATCTATGTTATAATAGCAGAAGATACTTCTTTGTTACTTCTCTTTTTCTATTCACCTCAAGCTTTCTCTCGAACAAAGACTCTGTGGTACAGAAGTAACATGCAGTTCTTGGAGAACAGGGACACACAATAAGCATATTTCAGGATATTATAATGGTGCACATCATCAGTGAATTAAATAACTTAAATGGATTCATTGGTTCTGTTCAAGTTCTTTCTTTGAACTCTCAGGTGTGGCTTTGTTTAAAGCTGACGGAAATTTTGGAATTTTTGCTATTCTGAGAACTGATGAAGAGTTTCTTATGAGCTTAGGGCTATGTTGTAATTCTTCTTCTTCTTCTTCTTCTTCTTCTTTTTTTTTTTTTTTTTTTTTTTTTTTTTTTTTTTTTTTTAGGGAATAGAAAATCTGGTACTTAATGGGTTTGTTTTGTTTCAGTAAAAATGCTTTCGAAGTTCTGTTATTTAAATGCAGGGTTTTGCATTCTTTAGATCTTTCGCAAAATAAGAATAGTTAAAGAGTATTTAAAAGAATTTAGGATATTCTTTAGACGCACGTTTGCTTTCCAATAATACATATCATGAGGGAAATGAGACCATTCTCACTGGATATTGGGTAAGTCAGATTAGTGACTGAAACGTTTCAAGTACAATTTCTTTCTGTATTTATATGACAAATTGTTTGGAATAAGAAAATATAACATTTTTATGAATCATATGAATACATATTTATGAATCATATATGCTTTAGAAACATATGATTTTGAATATCAATCATAATTAAATTTTAAAATCCGGGTTCGCTTCATGTATGATTATTTTTAATTAAGTATCCAGAAAAAAATTGTTTAAAAAAATGAAAGTATTTAGTGCGTCTAGGCATTAATTATTGGAAAAAGATATCTTGAAAGAAGCATGTTAAGTTCCATAGTTTACGTTTTAAATCAAACAAAATTATCTTTTTGTTTTAATAATTTTACAAATCTTATTGTTTTTTTTATCTGTAATTAACTGTAGTTTTAGTTTCTCAGTTCACAATAATAAGCAAAGATATACTGTGAAATAGCTAAGTCAATGAGAGGTGTGTTATTAGGTTAAATGTAGAATTCAGTTTATCTATGTGCACCACTGTAAACAACAAATATACTAATTGCTTATCTGGATTTCTTTACCTCAACGTTAAACATTTTCTTCCTCTTACTCCACAGGGAGGGAAAAAAAGCTTCTCTATCTCTTTTCCCAGCCATAAAAACTCTACTACGATGTTCATTATTGCATCTGCATGTAACAAAAAGAACAAAATGTTGCATATAAGTTTATAACTTCATGGAGTTACCCATTTTTTATACTTCGATATGTGTTCTTTTTAATATTCACGTAAGGCTTAATTAGCATGTTGGCTATGATTCATACTATACACTTGTATAAAATCGAATCACATGCTTTTTTAAGTGCTGGATTGCTCAAAAAAAAACTTTTTTTCGTTTTATTGTTAAAATATGACTAATTTTTATATAAAGTGTAGTGGTGATGGTGCGTGTTAAGAGGACTACATATAGTCCTTATTCGTTTTGTATATTGTCCGTATTTACTAGTCCTTATTATATTACATATTATAGTAATGCATTTTAGTAATATTTACGAATTCGCATTGATACTGTGATGCAATTGCTTCTTGAAGCTTCTTGAATTTTGCTTCTTGAAAGCAACTTTTGCAATAAACTTCGAATGTTTCAGTTTCATCATAAAATGAATTGATACGAAAAATATGATTTAAATTTTGTGCTCTAATTTTGCATTAAACTGGACCAAAATTTTTGGGAAATCCTCTTGTTATTGAAAACTAATACATATATAAAAGTATAAAATAGTAGTTTCTCTAAATTGTTTTGAATTTCTTTTAAATGAATGTCAAATGCTTCTAGGATTAATATATTCTAATTGTAATGGGTAAGAATTGCAATAAAAATTTATAGCTCATAGGAAATGTACAATTATAAAACAATCAGATAATTATGAATTTTCTCAACTGTATTCAGAATTCTTGCATCTTTTTCTTTAGCATTGAGTCATCTATGATTGTTTCACTAATGACCTAGCTAACTACAGTGTTATCAAATGAGTCTTAAAAAAATGCATATTATGATGCTTCAAATCATTAAAACAGTATAGATAATGGCTATCTGGTTACATCTCTGTGTAAGGTCTTTCTGATTTGTATACAAAAATATTTGAGGTATATTTATTTTATTGAAAAATGTTTAGAAAGCAGACGTAAAACTCTGATTGACTTAAATGAATGCAGGTCTTTATACATTTATGACTGAAATGAATGTAGGTCTTTATACTGAAAATAATGCTAGTTTCATAACTCCCTACAATTAAATATAATATGAATTTCTTGCATATCTATGAATTTGCAATTTGAAAGACACACAATTAGCATTTTTGATAGTCCAGTATCAATGAACACATAAATTCAGAAATTTTAATGAAGAAGATTTCTACTTTTTCTACAATATTCATTTAATTTATTTACAGTTATGTATAGAGTATGAGCTTAACTTCAGGAGAGGAGACTAGAAAATGTTAACTTTTTGTTTACTTGTTTACCTGTTGTAAAAGTATCTGGAAGTGGCATTCAAAGGTAATTTGAAATTTTCACTTAACTTTAATATCTTCTACAATTTAAACAAAATGAAGTAATGTGGTAGGCATTATAGAAGATATGATTTTACTAAATAATTACAATATTATTTTAAAAAAAAAAAAGCTGGTATAAATATCTTATTTTTCTTTTCTTTCTTTCTTTCCCCCCCCCCATTAAATTACTAGACAAATTGCGTACTTTTGACCGATCTTACTAAAAAGGTTTGGTTCCTGGTAATCATCCAAATAATTTTAAAATCATTTTAAATGTGAAAAAGGTTGGATAGGAGTAGTCAGCTGAGAGCATTTGATATTTTCGTTTGAAAAGTAAAAATAATATATATATATATCTTTTCTCATTTTAGATCTTTTTTTTTTTTTTTTTTTTTTTTTTTTTTTTTTTTTTTTTTTACACAAACTAACCTTATCTCATATAAAAAAAATAAAGTTTTGAAAACTACAGATCTCAATAAGTTCAATCTCAGTGCAGATTTCAAAAGTTCTTT